ATATATATATATATCAGGGCAACATCCCTGATATCATGGGTGTTTTTAGCTCAAATAATCCAGTCGTGAACCAAAATACTTCTTCAAAAGTTTTAGTGAAAGGTAGGCTGTTGGTGGTAATAATTCGCACCCAATTCTCCACACTGGAGCGGAGTGGACCGCTCTTTTGGACAATATCGACATAGTTTATCATCATGTTGAAAGAAAAACGCAAAAACTACTGCTCCTACATTATATACTAACAGAAAAGGAAGTAAAAAGGCTCAGTCACTGCATACCTTATAACCCTACGCATTATCGAAAATCATTTGATGCTTCCTAATATGGAAGTGAAAGATTATCGAAATTATTTAGGCAATTAGTTGGTTCTCCAACCAACAAAATTGCATTTTTGTAGACAGGTGTAAAAACTATTAAGATTTCATGTTTTTTTTAGATTTTTGAAAGAAATAGCTAATTATTAGAAAGAACGGAAGTAAATCACAATACCACCGTTCCTTCCAAAAATTAGTTACCAAATTCTGGACATTTAAATAAAACGCCAAGCCCAAATAATTTTTATTACATAGTACTATTAATATTGTACTCCCGAATGTAAAACAAACCATTATTTATTTTTGTTGTTCATTAATGAGTTGTTTAAGTTCAAAAATGCAATGTTGCTAATTGGAGTAAAGAGTATTAGGATTTGAAGTTCTATTAGAATTTTTGAAATTGATAACTAATTTTTGGAGGGAAAGGAAAAATTAGTTGCCAAATATCAAACATTTTATTTAAACACAAAATTCAAGTAATCTTTATTTCTACTAGCAATATTGTATTTCCGAGCCTAGGCCAACCCACAGTTTGTTCAAGATTCTGTTTGTGTTCCCATTCTATCTATGTCTATCTTTAACAAAAACCTGTCAAGTGAAATTCAATTTAGAATACCACAGATAAATGCTGTTATAGTTTGTCTACGGCAGAGGTCGCCAAAGTGGTCTATATAGACCCCCAGGGGTCTATTTAACAAAAGCGGTGGGTCGATCTGAGACAGGGGGGCGAATGGGGGTCGATCCGAATCGGAACGGTCGATTGTGGGTCGAAAAAAAAAACATTTCTCAATACGCAAATCACACATACCTTATTAAGTATGTAAAATTTGTGAACTTTTTTTATAATTGACTCAATATCAGTTTCTTTATAAAACATAAATTAATAAACGTATATTTATTGGGGTGAAACAATTATTTACGTATCACCGCGCAGCGGCACGAATTTAGCGCCGTTTATAAGTCATATGCATATGTTCGCTTGTCCAAATGTCACGTGTGACGAGTATTGACGTTACAAATGCGAATATCATACGCAGTTTCAGCTATCTATGCAAACTGTGTTGAATATTTGCATTGTCATTATTAAAACTTTTATAGTTTTGGATAATTAGTTATTGTTTCGATAAAACCATTCGTTTAGTTTAGATATCAATTTCAATTATCAATGCACAAAAAAGAAGGTAAGCATTAATAATATGGATCAGTACAGCCCGCGACAAAACTATAGCACATTTTGTATTTTTTTTACGAAAATTACAAAATTGATCAATTTTGACGAAAATTAAAATTGACCAATTTTGAACCCAATATAGCGAACCTTGCAAAAAAAACACCAGGCACACCCATCTCATTGATCAAGAAACAGTGAATCTTTAGTTACTTTACTTATTATATCTACTTATGCATAATTACTTATTATTTANAAGAAACATTTTCCAAAATCCCAGTTTGTTGGTATTGAAGGTGCTTCTCACAATGTTCATTCGGATGCTCCACATTCCTTCCTTGATGCTTTGTTGAATATCTTAAATGAATAGTTACACATATTGTATATGTTACTGTAAAATTTGGAAATTTGGTATTGTATACAATACCAAAAAAGCTGGCTAAGTATTAAACTATTAAACATTTCTCACAATGGCTAGGTATTGTATGCAATACCGAATGATAAAGCGCCAAAATATGATGAGTAATTATTTCACTCTTTTAATTAATATGTTTATGTTATATTACTATTATTTAAAAGTAATTTCTTCATGCAATAATTCGGTTTATATTTCATATCGTTTTTTTTAAAATAAAATAGCTTTAACTTTTTAATAGTTTATAAAAACTGGTATAATAATCTGGCATAACTGAAAATTTTCTTTAGCTTTGAAATCAGTTGCGTTACTTAAAAAAAAGCAAAAATATAAATAAATAATGCGCTTTTTGTTTGAAATTCGCATCTTTCGTGCTTTTTTTTTTTAAATAATCGTCATTGAACACATTGATTACGCAAAATATGCAATCCCATAGTTTAAGTATATAACACATCTTAAATTTTATGCTTTTACTGAAAACGACAGTCGTTTTGAACATACGGGTATTTCCTATATTGTCTGGAAAATATGTTTACGTTAATAAAGAAATGTTTTTACGGAATATGGAATATTGTTTCTCTTAGTTCTACACATTCTTATTCTAATTCCCAATCATGTCATATAAAAATCATGTCAAGATCAAAACACCATTCATCGTTATTATTATTATAATTTATTTTTAAAAAAAATTCAGTCTGTCCTTGTACTTTGTTATAATTACAACAGATAGGATTTTTTGGCAGTGATAGTTATAAAAACAATTTTTCTTGTGATATCGTTATCGTTCTGTAGATAAAATTATGCTGGCACATAAAACTAATTCTATTTTAGTGGAAATACACAGAAAATAGTGTAGATACACCAAATAAAATTGCTTATAAATATTAGGGGGACCGGAAAATATGGTCGTATCGGCGCATTAAATATTTGTTAGTCTTAAAATACAATAAAATTTTTAGGATTCATTTTCGATCCGGAGTTGAAAGGTTGTTACTAACGAGGGTGAATACAT